CCGAAAGGTAATCTTTTAAATTCGTAATGACCATCATTTGTTGAAAAGGCGGTTTTTTGTCTTGAAGAGGCGTCAATTGGTATTTGATGAAATGAGCTGGTCATATCTAAAGTGGAAAAATACCTAGCTCTTCCAAGCTTATCGAGAACATCCTCCAAACGTGTTAAGGGGAATTTGTCGTTGACTATCCTTTCATTGAGTTTTCTGTAATCAATGACGAGTCTCCAATTCTTGTTATCGTTTGTTGATTTCTTAGGAACAAGCAAGATTGGTGAATTGTAGGGGCTTTTTGACGGTTGTATTATATCGTCTTGTAATAGTTTTCGAACTTGTGTTTTTATATCATCATTATGACAATGTGGTAATCGGTAATTTTTAATGTATATTGGATTATTGTCAGTTGTAGAGATGTGTTCTGTATAAAAATTGTTTGTAGATAATGGTTCTGATTCGAGTTGAAAAATGTGTTGGTATTTTGAAATTAGTGGAATTAGTGTTAGTGCATCTTCTTTCAGCTGTACCTTGTCAAGAATTTTAGCTAATCTTTGTTCAGTATAAATTTTTGATTTGTTATTTATACAGTAATAGTTATACAAAGGTTGTGACTTAATTTTTAAATCAGTTATGTTGATATCTGATTCGTTTGTATTTATCACATTTATGTGGCAAATTCCGTTTGCTGGTACTATGGTATTGGCCATGTACACTCCTTTGTTGATTTCGTTACTGAACAGAACAGAATCTGTATTAAAACGAATGTCTATAGGTAATATGTTTTGAGTTCTCGCTTTAACTGTAAATGTTTTAATATTTATTGGAATTGTTGTGGACTGTAAGTCCGAAGTTACTGTTAGAGAAAATGTGTAGTAATCTATATTACATTTAAAATGTGTTAAAAAATCTCTACCTATTATTCCATCCACCTCAATTGGGAAGTCTGTATCGACTACTGAGAATATGTGATTTAGAAATAATCCATCAAAATTTAGGCTTAGTTTTGAAATACCTAAAGATAACTTGTGACCATCTGTAATACCAGTTAATAAGCAAGTTGTGCTAGAATCAAAATTTAAATTGTAGTTATTTTTTATAATAGACACATCAGCACCAGTGTCAATTAAAAGCTTTAGACTTTTATCAATAGTATTGCAAAATACTATTACATAATTTGATATATTAGGGTTTATATTGAAAATTTTTAATGATGTACCAGAGGAGAATTCCCTAAGTTGTCCTCTGGTTCTGAGTAGTTTTCCTGGGCATTTAGTATCTGTACACGCCTGTTTCGGTTAGAGTTGAATTGACTCCTTGGATTCCGAGCTGTATTGTTGTATCCTGTTCTATTTCTATTCTCAACGTTTGACGTATTGTTGGGGTACGCGTTGTTTCTGTTTCTATTGAAGTTTCTCCCATTATTGCTTCTATTTTGAGAATTGTTGTTAATTCTCTGGTTATATTGGAATCTATTTTGATTCATTCTATGTTTGTCGTATCTTCTTTGACTATGAAAACGTTGTTGGGTGAAAAAGACTTGTTGTTGCATTGGTATATGCATATTTTCTGCAAACAATCTAGCTTCTGTAAAGGTCTTTGGTTGAGCTGCCTGTACAGTTTGTGAATAAACAGTATTTAATCCCTTTTTAAATGCTAACAATGCTGTTTCATCATTTACTAAAAATACGGCCTTTCCTTCCGGAGATGACTTCTTAAAATTATTCTTTAGTAATGTCGCATTGTTTAAATTCGCCAGAATGGTTGATATCTTTTCTGTATATTCGTGTATTTTCTGGTGAGGGCCTTGTTTTACTTCTGCTATCTTTTGGAGCAGTTGAGGTATGGTATCCTTTGATATGAAGTTCCTTTTTAGATTCTCTATTAGTTCAGGAAGTGAATCTGGAATTCCTACGGGGCTGACTTTGGCTCTTACTGAATGTTGTAACTTGCATTCTACTATAAAATCTAAAAATGCTTGTTTGTCAGAGTCAAGTAGGTTGTCATGAATTATATTCAATCTATGTATAAAATTGTTTAATTCTTCAACTTTACCGGTGAAAGTGGGTACTAGTTTTTCCACAGTTTCGTAATTTAATTTTTCCATGTTTGTGCTTGTAGCACTACTGTTTTCCTGGCTAACTATGTTTTCACTAGTAGACATACTTAATAAATATTGTTTAGTCAGGTTATATTTGTCGAAAAATGTCTCTGTTAATGAAGTTATAGTTTCAAACTTAGAAGTTGGGTAAATTGTTCTAACTTTACTTGACAGATATTCTAATCTTTTTAATTTTTCGGATACTGTAGTTTTTGAATATCCTCTTGAAGCAGATTTTTTTGCGTTTCTTAATATGATATGTATTTCAGATATACACTCAGATATAGTTTCCATTAACTAAACTAGTTGCTACTGTGTATTGGGGACATGAATATAGCTAACGATTTCTATGTAGGATCTATTTTATATTAAATTGAACGAAGTGAACGATAATACTGACACATGTGAACGAGTGAACGAGAGACAGAGATAAAAGATAAAAGAACTTTTATTTATATATATATTTATTATTATTTTAGTACATGATTTAATATAATTAAAAGTTTTTAGTAATTTTTATTTTCATACATGTAAAGTAATTTTATTTTCATACATTTTCATATATTTTATTTAATACTGTAATATAATATGTTACAGAAATATTATATAATTTTTACATAAAAAGAATATAATCTATTTCATCATTTTAAATTTTCAACATATTTTTAAACATTTGATGTTTGTTGTTGATGAACATGTTTGTGTACATAACTTTTGAAATATTTATTTATTCTAAATATTACATATACAATACATATTATAATTATAAGTGTTATTATGGCTACCTGTTGTTCCGGCATGTTGACTTCTAGAATCTGGTTCTGGTTGTTGTTGACTGTGTTTGTGTCAGGTGCATCCGCGGAAAACCAACCCATGATGTTTCAGCTGCAGATGAAAATGTTTTTCTTCTCTTTTTAATATATTTTAAAATATGCGTCGATAGTTGCAATGAAAAAATGTTTTATTTGTACACGAACACACGCTTGTAGATCGTTGGATCTTTCAGCTAATTAATTAATTTCACATATATATATAAATTTAAATTTATTTATTAATTGTTTTTGCCATTGAGATTTGGCATAGTTCACTTAGTTTTTAGTTGTATTCACATAATATGAAAATTTTAATATGAAAATTTTATTATTTTTTTTTTTTTGTTTATACGATTTTTAAAATTCACTTTCTATTCATTTAAATATATATAAATTTAAATTTATTTATTAATTGTTTTTGCCATTGAGATTTGGCATAGTTCACTTAGTTTTTAATTGTATTCACATAATATGAAAATTTTAATATGAAAATTTTATTATTTATATAAATTTATTTATTATTGCTTAGTCACTTAGTTTTTCTTAATTGTTATTTAATTAGTGGTCCTTGCCAACGAGATTTGGCAGGATCGCCATGTAAAGATATGGTTATACAAAAGAAAAGACGCGTCGTTTTGAGTGTCCAAAATAAGACTGATTTTTATTAATTTTTATTCTTAAGTCTAACATTGTTTTTTAATATTAATTTCCAATAGAATCTTATGTATTGATTCTATTGGTTATTACTTATCATACTTGCGTCTAATTGGTTAACCCAAATTAGACGTATATACTATTCTTACAAACATAACTTATCAATAAATGGTGTACTATTAACAAATGCAATTGTTCCACATATGGTTTCACTTGAAACCGTTTATTCTATTGACACAGTTTTGACTTATGCATATTGCACATATGGTGCAATGTGCGGCTCAGTTATTTGTCATCAAAGAAATGACAAAATAAAGGCTCATATTACTTGACAATAGTTTGTCATAAATTTTATCAAAAATAGAACTGTGTCAATGTTTACTTTAAAATAAGTGGAACAATTGAATGTTTTGTGATATGTGTGGTCTCATACCCATATCACATTACACTAAAATAATACAATATTAATCAACTTATATAATAAACAAAATTAACACATTAATAATACATTAATATGTCGATAATAATTTATTTCAATATAAACTACTATAGTTTTCCAATTTACAACATTAATGTGATGTATTCGTTATTTAGTTTTTTGCTATATGGTTGTTTTCATCCAGCTCATTCATGATGCTTAATAAGTTAAAATTAGTAGTCGCCTTCTCATTGCCACACTTTAGGATTCCATTTTTGCTCCATTTGCACCACTTGTTTCCAATGCGTATTCTATCATCTGGAACGAGCACCTTGTGCGAACGATTTATTGAGAGAATTTTTTTCTTATTAAGAGAAGAGCTTTTGTGACAGCTTCTTTGGGTGGCAGCTGATCTGTTAGGCCTTTGAAAATTAGGTTTTTTTCTTATTGGCATCAATTAGCCGCATCAGTTCTTCGTGGTCGGTTTGTTTTTCATGTTCCTATTTAATTATTTTTTCTTTTAAAGTTTTATTTTCCTCTGAAAGCATTTCGACTGTACGATTAAGGCTGATTATATTTGTGTTAACAGCCTCTAAATCGGATTTAGTAGCAATATCTCTC